GCCGAACTTAACGCTTTTTCACTTGTTTATCCCATCATATGATATCCTTACTAATAAAGGGCTTACATACATTCACATTTAACCTTTTCTACTGTTAACTGATAATGAGGCTGCACAATTTATAGGCCCCCTAAGCTCTAAAGGCAATCCAATTCTATCCACATGATCTTAGCAGCTACTTTCAGTAGTCCCTGCATGTTATATTACCCTTACAAAGTTGGGGTTTTTTCTCCACATCCCATTTTACTGGCACCAAATATTTATGTCACCCAAGAGTATTGCCATACATATTCATCTGCATATATAGATATGTATGTGTGTTTGTTTTGCATTTGTTATAGTTTTTTTCAACATTTTGTTGCATCAACAAAAATATATATATAAAATGCATGCAAGTGCAACGTTGTATGCTAATGGCAAAAAAATTTGTTCTTACAACATTGTTTTACATTCCATTATATGCACACACACACATGCACATCAATACTCACATACTCATCCATGGATTGCATTTAAGCCATGCATGTGTATCCTTTCAGCTTTTCGGCTTTAGCATTTCGTTTTGTTATCATCATCTCCCATTGAAAGCTTGACAAATAAAGAAAAATTTCTTTTCTAGAGAAAGAAAGAACACAATGTATATGTCTTCGTATGTGAGGGGATAATAGGGTGGATGGTAACAAATATTTTTTTAAGAATTCAACATAATCCAAATTTTTAAAAAATAATTTTTTGGATGGATGAAAAATGGATGGACTATCAAGGCGCAGATTTTTAAAAATAATATTTAGTAGGACTATCAAGATTTAGATTTTTAAAAAATAGTTTTTAGAACGACTATCACGGTGTAGATTCTTTAAAAATAATTTTTAGAAGGACTAAAAAGCATAGATTTTTTGAAAATAATTTTTAAAAGGACTATCAAAGCGTAGACATTTTAACAATAATTTTAGAAGGACTATCAAGGCGTAGAATTTTATACCCTTCCCCACACTGTGGTGTGGCAAAAGGAAACGAGATAGACCCACAGTTCCTTTTGAAAATATGCACAAAATCACTTTCTGAGTCGATCTATGCATTTCCGTCTGTTGGTGTTAAATTGTAAACAAAATACAGGTCGCATTTATGATCCGATTTGGATGAAATTTGGAATAGGATGAAATTTGGTCTCTTACTTGACCCAAGGGCGAACCCTATCGAAACTGGGAAACATCGGTCCAGATTTAGATATAGCTCCCATATATATTTTCGTCCGATTGAATGTAAATGGTGCACCAAAGTCCCTATTTATCTCTCGATTTGCACGAAATTTGTTTCCTGGAAATCGGTTCAGATTTAGATATAGCTCCCATATATATTTATACCCTACACAACTATGTTGTCAGGGTATTATAGCTTTGTGCAGCCCCAAAAGTTTGTAACGCCGCGAAATATTGGTCCTAGACCCACCTTTTAGTATACCGATCGTCATATCTCGACTAGCTGAGTCGATCTAGACATGTGTGTCCGTCCGTCTGTCCATTATAATTTGTAAACACGATACAGGCCACAGTTATGGACCAATCTTCACGAAATTTTGCATGTAGGATGTGTTCTGGCCAATGAAGACCCCTATTGTTTTTGGGAAAGATCGGTTAATATTTAGGGGATGAAATGGACCAAATACTAAATTTTTGTCGGTTTTTCTGGTCGCTTCACAGGCCGCAATAATGGTCCGAACATCGTGAAGTTTTCATGGAGAAGGGGGTCGGGCCAAAGAATAAGCATGCCTGTTTTGATAAATATCGGTCAATATTTAGCGGTTCAAATGGACCCTGACTTTTGTGTCAGGGACATAGACCCGAAAAGTTGATATTTTATCCAAGAGGAGTGGTTGACCTTTAAATTAATACCAATTATATTGTTGTATGTGCTCTGATGTGGGAGTTACTCCTAAATATTTACAGGTATCTCCGTATTTGTATGTTATTTAGTAACCCATTATCACTCTAGAGAGCGGAACTATAGCGCTGATCGCTTTGAAATGTTTCATGAGGTTCCAGTTATGGTCAAGGACAACGCCTATAATTTTCGGTGATGATCAGATAATAATTTTGGAATGAAGTGGACCGAAAACTTAATTTTTTGTGTTATTTTCGAGTCGATCTACAACAACACAACCCACGGTGAAGGAAATCTGGACAATAACTGTACTGAATACTCGTAATATTCGGAAAATATGTCAGTGTGAGGAAGAGGCGCTGTTTACCTCTAATCGGGCTAGAGTGTGCAAATATCACGGAATATTGCCCAGGTTCGGAATACACATCCGTAGAAAATTTGAGTTCAGTGGTAGTTGTGTAGGGTATCGTATGGTCGGCCCCGTCCGACTATACTGCTCCGCTCACTGGTTTTCTTCTATTTTATGTAAATAGTACATAAAAGCCCCTTTATATCCTTAGATTTTCACAAAATTTTGCATAGCGTACTGAATTAAGCCAAGAATAATTTGTGCTAAGTTTCGTGAAAATCTATTCAAATTTAGATACAGCTCCCATAAAAATTTTCGTCTGATTTAATGTAAATGGTGCATCAAAGACCCTATATATCTTCCGATTTCCATGAAATTTGGCATAGCGTACTAAATAAACCCTAGAACGATGTGTGTTAAGTTTCGTGAAAATCGGTTCAGATTTAGATATAGCTTCCATATATATTTTTGTCCGATTTTAGGTATATAGTGCACCAAAGTCCATTTATATCCTTCGATTTGCACGAAGTTTGGCATAGCGTACTGAATTGAGTCAAAAATGATGAGCTGTAAGTTTCGGAAAAATCTGTTCAGATTTCGATATAGCTTCATCATATATATATGTTCGTCGGATTTTACATAAATGGTGCACCAAAATCCTAATATTTGTCCTATTAACACGACAAAATTTTGCACAACGTATCGAATTGAGACTTGAATGTCTTTATTGCGTTTTGTTGAAATTGGTGCAGACTAAGCCATAGCTTCCATATGTGATTCGAACGGGTGTCTGATTGAGATTAAATTTTTGACAGTGCGGCGTACCAAAATTTGTACCATGGTACGCAGATCACTCTAAGTCTGGCCAAATGAAATTAAATTTAGCATAGGTTGCAAAAAGGCATGAGTATGTTCCTTCGAGGGAACATTGACATGCAATTGTAAGGACACATATGTAGAATATACCCAAAGTAGTGAAGGGTATCATATAGCCGGAGGGTATGATATAGTCGGAGGGTATCATATAGCCGGACCAGTCCGACTTTATTGTTTTCCTTACTGGTTTAAAAATAATTTTTAGAAGGACTATCAAAGCGTAGATTTTTTAAAAATAGTTTTAGAGGGACTATCATGGCGTAGATTTTTAAAAAATAATTTTAGAGCGACTATCATGGCGTAGATTTTTTAAAAATAATTTTAGAGCGACTATCATGGCGTAGATTTTTTAAAAATAATTTTAGAGGGACTATCATGGCGTAGATTTTTTTAAAAATAATTTTAGAGGGACTATCATGGCATAGATTTTTTAAAAATAATTTTGGAGGGACTATCATGGCGTAGATTTTTTAAAAATAATTTTAGAGAGACTATCATGGCGTAGATTTTTTAAAAATAATTTTAGACGGACTATCATGGCGTAGATTTTTTAAAAATAATTTTAGAGGGACTATCATGGCGTAGATTTTTTAAAAATAATTTTAGAGGGACTATCATGGCGTAGATTTTTTAAAAATTATTTTAGAGGGACTATTTTTTTAATACTTATTTAGTAGGACTGATACTAGATTTACTAATTTTTTTTTTGTAAGTACATTAGATTGTGGATTTTTTGAAAATATATTTTATTTTTTTAAATTTTCTCTCCCTTTATCCACCCCAATATTTAGTAGCCTTTCGTTTCATATATATATGTCAAAATATATTGAAATATGACCGTTGCTGTGCAGTTGCATTTGAGAAGTTTTCTTTTTTGGGAATCGACAATGTTGTAAATCTTTTTGGACATTTCTCTTGATCTGCTTGCAATTTTTCTTTTCATTGACAACGCTTTCAGTTTGAATCTCCGGCTATACATGTAGTGTGAGTATATAGAACATGTGTACGACAAGTTAGGGATATAAGGATTCAAACATGTGAAGACAAATATGGACATTACATGCAGTTGTTTTTTTTTTAATATCTTTTAGTACCGTTATTTGTTAAAAAGTCAAAAGCAAAAGAATTTGACACACACACATACACAAAATAAAGAATACGAAAGAAAAGATTAATTATACTCTGAGGAAAGGAATATCCAAAAGATGTGAGATTCATATAAATGATACGAAATTGTCTAAAGGGACAAGGGCGTAGAGAGATATATATTTAGGAGGATATTTGGTTTCTTTATAATTTAAAAGATCAACTATGTGAGCAAAATTATAAATTTATTTAAATTCATCATATCCAGAAAGACAAGGATTCAATACACACACATATGAAATAATACAATACTCACACAAATGAAATAATAGAACAGTGGCGTAGTGGTTTATATTTGAGAGGAAACGAAAAATTTTAAATACCAACTATTAGAGCAAATAAAGAGTTTAAATTAAATTCTTTATCTACAGATTTTTTAATATCGTCCCCTCAATTTTCGTACGCCTCTGCTTGCCTCCAAGCGTTATAAACGTATCAAACTGACCAAAACGAAAAGACCATCATCGTCATTACTTAATGATTAATGGTTACAATTAAATTTCATAATATATGACATTAATAAATGTGTTGGAAATTATGTGCTGACCTTGTTGCCGTTGTTGTTATAACAATCTCTTAACATCTTATATATCATTAATTATTACAAGCTTAATCCTTATGAGTAATAACCTTAAGGACTCCCTCTCACTTGAATCAAACAAATCTCTTAAATTACTTAAATTCTTTTTTATATACTTTTTTTGCAATTTTTTATCCCTCTTTCTCTTTTTCCTATCTTCCCAAACAGGATGAACGTTTTAATTGTAAAATCGATACGTTGACCGGTTATCGTACAAAGGCATTACTTTGTATGCCAATCAAGGACTCATCGGGTGATGTCATTGGTGTGGCCCAAGTCATTAATAAATTGAATGGAGAATGTTTCTCAGAAACTGATGAAAAGGTAAGTCTAGAATAAAAACAGAACAACAAAAACAACACTAAAAATAATAATAACAAAAACATGAAAATATGTTCTTGACCTGGTGACAAATACATAAAGATATATGTTATCCTTAGACACAATTCTAAAAATAAATAATAGATAATTTTTTCTCTAATGTTAAGTTAATAAAACGAGAATATGTATGTGAGGGTGGAATAATGAGTCTATAATGAATATAATTACCAGATTTGTTGGAAAAAAAATATAATTATTCTATGATCATAGGAGCGCTCCAAGAGGACCTGGTTTAGAGGTCTGTTATAAACAAATTCAAGTAGGCCATATATGATCTCCAGAAGTTAAAACCGGAAGTTTTCAATTATTGACTTTTGGGAGCTCTTATATAGACAATATCTAACTGGAAGATCTCCATATTCTCTTCTCTCAATAGGGGTTCTTATAAAAAATAGCTCCGAAAAGAATTATTTTTATCGTAGGCCATCATAAGCTCTTCAATTTATAGAAGACCTCTCGAAAGTTGGTTTCTCTATAAAACAGTTGCTAAAGGTGTCATATTTATAGAAGAGCTTCGGGAGATCTTTTACGATCATAATGCTTTTGGAACATCTCTGGAAGTGATTTACTTACAGGCTTATAGGAGCTCTTCTAAAAAGAAAATAAATCAGACAGACCTCCATAAACTTATCCTTCAATATGAGAGTTCCATCGGCCGAGTATTTTGTATATCAAATACCAAATGGTATTCTATATACAGTAGCCCTCAATAAGCTCATGAACTAATAGATGATCTATAGAAGGATGTTTTCTTGCAGAGGGTTTTATATTTAAAGACCAGCTCCAAAAGATCTGCTTGTAGCCTTCTATGCCTCTGAATAAATTACTTCTATTTTAAATAATCAATCAAACTCCGAAGGTTCTATTGCCTGTATAAATGTTGAAATTGGTGGGTCTTCAATCTATAGACGATAGAGAGGACTTTCCTAAATACAGGACCTTCCTATGTCATATTTTGTTTTGCAATGTCATATTTTTGTCGAAGTAAAGTTTTATCATAGAAAAAATCCGAAATTCAATTTTTCGTAAAATAACCTTCATCAGGTCCATCAAAATGATGTAAAATTTGAAGGAGGCATTAATAGATCGATTTATAATGGATAGTATAGGTGCATTTACCCAAAAATTGGGTATAAACTCATTATCTGACGAACCACTTGACATAGACGGCCAAAATTTAGCTCACATGTTTTTTTATGTCCAAGCGAATATTGGTATGGGTAATGGGGTCTCTGGGTTCAAGTTTTGATATAGCCCCCATATAACCGTACCTCGCGATTTAAGGTATTTATTGTTTATTAGACTCACTTTACGATCAAATTAGCTATAATTTGGCACAAAGAGTTATCTATGGGTACCAAATAACCAACGTTTTCTGGTAGCCCCCATACAAAAGTACCCCTATTTTGAGTATTTACCCAAAAATTGGGTATAAACTCATTAACTAGCGAACCACTTGACGTAGGCGGCCAAAATTTGGCTCACATGTTTTTAATGTCAAAGAAAATATTGTAGTGGAATATGAGGCCTCTGGTCCAATTTTTGATATAACCCAATATTTTTATAACCTTCACCACTCTGTGGTACAAAAATTGGGTATAAACTTTATGATATTTTTTTCATATAGCGCCATATAAACCCATATTTTTATACCCTTCACCACACTGTGGTACAGGGTATTATGTCATTGTGCATATGTTTGTAACAGGCAAAAGGAAACGAGATAGACCCATGGTTCCTTTTCAGAATATGCATAGAATCACTTTTTGAGTCGATTTATGCATGCCCGGCCAAATACAGGTCGCATTTATCATCCGATTTGGATGAAATTTGGCACAGCCCAAATTAAGTCTAGAAAGATGTGTGCTAAGTTTCGTGGAAATCGGTTCAGATTTAGATATAGCTCCCATATATATTTTTGTCCGATTTAATATAAATGGTGAACAAATGCCCCTATATATCTTTCGATTTGGACGAAATGTGGCTTAGCGTACTAAATTAGGCCTAGAATGATGTACGTGAAGTTTCATGAAAATCGGTTAAGATTTTGATATAGCTCCCATATATTTTCGCCCGATTTAAGGTAAATGGTGCGCCAAAGTCCCTAAAAATCTTTGGCATAGCGTACTGAATTGAGTCTATAATGATTTGTGCTAAGTTTCGTGAAAATCGGTTAAGATATAGCCCCCTATATATATTTTCGTCCGATTTAAGGTAAATGGTGCGCCAAAGTCCCTAAAAATCTTTCGATTTGCACGAAATTTGGCATAGCGTACCAAATTAAGTCTAGAATGATGTGTGCTAAGTTTCGTGGAAATCGGTTCAGATTTAGATATAGCTCCCATATATATTTTTGCCCGTTTTAATATAAATGGTGAACAAATGCCCCTATATATCTTTCGATTTGGACGAAATGTGGCTTAGCGTACTAAATTAGGCCTAGAATGATGTACGTGAAGTTTCGTGAAAATCGGTTAAGATTTTAATATCGCTCCCATATATTTTCGCCCGATTTAAGGTAAATGGTGCGCCAAAGTCCCTAAAAATCTTTGGCATAGCGTACTGAATTGAGTCTATAATGATTTGTGCTAAGTTTCGTGAAAATCGGTTAAGATATAGCCCCCTATATATATTTTCGTCCGATTTAATGTATATGGTGAACCAAAGTCCCTATATATCTTTCGATTTGCATGAAATTTTGTATAGCGCTCTGAACTAAGTCTAGAATGGTATGTGTTAAGTTTCGTGAATATCGGTACTGTTTTAGATATAGCTCCCATATATATTTTCCCTAAATATCGTTCGTTCAATTTCATGTCAATGTTCTTTCGAAAAGGAGACTATCTGGAGACGTCTGTTAGGAGACTATGTAGAATATACCTAAAGTGGTGAAGGGTGTTATATAGTCGGCCCAGTCCGACTTTACTACTTTCCTTACTGGTTCTCTTTGAATGTGTACGTATATGACCCATAATCCTGACTATCCATTACAGCAAGTTTCTAACGACTTTATTCAATGACCTTCATAAGTCGTCGATCATTATCTCAATATTGATCCACTTTTGTGGGCAGCGACAAATTTAGCTTCTTTTGGTGGGGTTGGTTTGGTCAAGATGTTCAAACAAAAAAGCTGTAATTTAATATTTATATTTTAGGTTCAAATCTTTCTGCGAACAATTGGTAATTGGTATCTCGTAAAAATTTCAAATATCCTGCCATGATCAGGCATAGTCCCTATATAATGGTACACCTAATTGTCGTTATTTTGAAGAGTTCAGACATGTTTTACATTGGGTGGGAAATCTACCGAAAATATAGAAACAAGCATTTTCCGACCGAAGTGACTATTTACTACCATGACGTAGCCTACAACTCCCGAACGATTTTATTGGTAAAGGGTATAAACATTTCGGCCGATACTTGTCATTATTGAAGTCTCTATAGCTATTTTTAATAAATTTTAGAACAGTTTTTTAATAACAACATTTTTATGCTTTCAATGTCTAAACCCATAGATTTTTCTAATAGAATCAATAAATATCCAATGCTGTTAGTCAGCACACTTACCATACCCTGTCGTTTTTTTTCAATTGTTTTCGCATTCAACGCAATTTTGTTCGCTATCTTTTCAAGTTTCCTTCCAAAACTATTATGTTTAGCAAAAAAAATTAAATGCTTTTTAGTTTAGTTTTGTACGAAAACTTTATTATCTCATACGCCATGACATACCCATTCATTCCTTGAATTGGAAACAGTGAAGACATGTTGTATCTGTTAAAACTTTATAACACAAATGAAACATGACCACTAAGTTTTTAAGGAGAGAGGATGACGGTGGTAGGAGACAAAACTTTAAGGATTTTTTGACCAAAGATGAAAAAGTTTTCTATTTTTTTACGTATCTTGTAAACAAAAAGTTTTCTATATTTTCGAAAACTAACAGCATGAAAATCTAAAAATTTTGACAAAACGCTAAAAATAAATTTCTTGTAACGAGACATAGAACTTTTGTGGTATAATAAGCAAATTAAAAAGCCACTAAATGTTACAGACTTTTTGGGGAAGATTACCTTTTGTTAGGGTATCACTATTACATGAAAACTGTCTCTTAACAATCTCACACATACACACGTTCAACTGCAGGTAGTTTGCAAACACTAACGAGAAAAACCACCAATTAGTTGCAAAAGTTTTGTAAAGTTGTTAATTGTTTTTCGACAGGGATTTTACATAGTGGTTATAAGGGTTGTTGATTGTTGTGGAAAAAGGAAGATGAAGTTAGATTTGGAAGTGACTCTTTTACCCAATATAAGTTCGGGAATTAAGAATAATAAATATCATAAACAATCGATTTTGCACAGATAGTAGTTGCGACTAGTTCCCGTAAAAGAAAATATTTCAATGATATACAGGGTACCCCGTTTGATATTATCGACTGAAACATTTTGTACTGGGAGGGTATTGTGTTCATATTTGTGCGTCCAAACAACCGTTTTAGAACCTTTCCAGTGCAAGTTTTTCTTGCTACGGGTCCTTATTCGATTTGTCTTTCTCTCTGTCCAAAAACTCCGCAGTGTTGTGACTCCTCGGTAGCATTAGGTTAAACACGCCAAATCCAGTCAATTGAAATATGTTTTGCTTTTCCCGATTCTCCTGGATTGCGTTGATGTTATTAAATTTTATGTATTGTGATCATATTGTTGCCGCCTGAACACATGTTTAACACCTCTCCAGAGCAAGTTCTTCTTGCTGCGATTGCGTCTTCGTTTTGGCTTGCTATGTGTCCACATTTTTACGATTTTTGTATTAACGATTTGCTTCAGTTCTATTGTGGATAAAATTTAAAAATGTATTAAAGACTCGGACTACTGTCAACACTATATAAAAATATATACATAACAGTGTAATTTTTATTAACCTATATCGATAAAACTTCAATCAGGCCCTTCTCCATGAGATGAACATTCAAAATACCTAAAATCAACGGATAATTTTTATATAAAGGCATCTTAATAGTAAATTGCTGCCAGAAGAAGACGAAATACCAAACAACAGACACTCAAGTTAGAATAGTGTACGATGTCATAGACGATAACACGAGACCTGTGTTATGAAGAACCATAGACGTATATTGAAAAATACCAGAACCAAGGTCCCGGATTAAACTCACCTATAAGAGGCTGGACATTTATATGAAGGCTATACCCAAACACCGACCCATATTAAACAATTTTAGTAGGATGACTTACTACCCAATGAGAACTCAAAATATCAAATTAGGGCCACCTCTATTGAAAAATATATTTGAAATCGTCAAAATGGCTAATATTAGCTACCATTTATGAGATCATCGATCGGAGAAGCAAATATATATAATTACAGACTATTGAAAACCCTGTCAAAAAATTTCCGAAATCCGAAAATATGAGGGCAATTACCACACTTGGACCAATATTGATAATGTTATTCCTCAGCCTTATGCCTAATGAGAGTATATAATCTCATTTACAGTGACAATGAGCCTCATCGAAAAATTGGTTTAGACCCCATGTTTCTTTGGGCCAAATCAGTTTCAGAAAATTTGGTGTCGATTTACAAATGTCCGTCCGTTGTCCGTCTGTCTGGCTGGTGCACACGATAAATCTCGAAGGGAATAATCGATTTCATCAAACTTTGCACATCTTATTATTTCTTTCAAACATACTTGAAGTTCGAAGATTGGGAATATCGGTCCACTCCTTCTGGTACCTCCCTAACAAAATGGTCAAAATTTTGTAAAAAATTAATTGTATTATATTATGCGAACGAACTACCGATTTGAACCAAACTTACAACCTCTTATCTTTACCAAGACTAGTTCATGTTTGTAAATGGCACTCATAGATTCACTCTTTCTGGTACTTCCCCCACAAATGGTAAAAATTGTCAATATTTGTAAATACAATATCAGGCTAATGGAATGCCCGATGTGAACCAAATTTTGCACAACCCATTATCTTTACGAAGTCTAGATTAAGTCCGAAGATGGCACGAATAGGACCACTCCTTCTGGCGCCTCCCCCACAATTGGTCAAAAATTTCAATATTTAAAAATTCTATATTAGGCGAAAGGAATATCATATTTGATAGAAACAAATACCTTACATAAAGCGAATAGTAAAAGTTGTATATAATTTCGAAGATCTCCGCAAACCAAAGGCTGAGGGTATATATCTGTTGGCAACACCGACAGACTCTCCTTATGTGACCCATCCGTTAAGTCTAAATTTGGCTGGTATCTCACGAAAAAATGCTTAAATTTTGTCTTCCAATGCGTCAATTGAATTGGGCTTGTCTGTATAGGCATGACTTTTAACATAGCTCCACCAAAAATAGTATAAAGGCTTTATATCACATTATCTAGACGGCCAATTGACCGGTCCCGAACAAGAAATAAAAGGTTCATCGAACTCGCCTATCAATAAGTCCATTGTTATGCGCGCTGTATGCGATGTGTCAACGTCTTGTCGAACCAACTATCATCCAAGTTAAGCACTTGCTCTTGGCCCACCATTCACATTTATGTTACGATTCGAACGTATTTCGGATTTCGAAGTATGGCCCCATGAGGCCATAAATCGCACTAAACACAGACATTAACTGACCTTCTCTCAAAAATCGATAATTGTGCTTATTTGCGTACCCATTAACCCAAAAACAGCTTCATTGCTGAATAGAAATTGTCAAAAAACAAATAATGGATGTCCCGCCAACTTTTCAATAGGCCTTACCAAAAATTCCGAGTTGCGGTATGTCATTCGGCTTCTTTCCGTAACATTTTGGTGATATTTAGAGGGTCAATTCAATAATTTATGGTCATCATAATCGTCATCATCGGTCGGAACCGATACATTTGGTATTAAATTTACTCCCCGAATAGCCGCTTCAGTGGGTCGATTAACCCTTTCAGTGTCAAAGAAAAAATTTGTCGGAATAAAAATCTAAAATTTTTAATTTAAAATCATATAAAGGGACATAGTTTGGAAAAAATAGCAATTTTCATTTTAACCCTCGGCCAGTCGCGTCTGTTTTCCAGCAAAAACAAAAACATCAATAGTAACGGTACATAGGATAACCGAAAAATCGCAAAGAAAGAGAGTACGTTTAAATGTCGAATGTATTCGACAAAAACACTGAAAGGGTTAAACAGACAATAAATTGGAAGAAGCGTGCGATGAATTTAATAGCTAAAAGCTTTGACTCCGATATATGTTTTCGACTGAATTTATTTAAATGGTGCACCAAACAGCCAAAAAATTACCGATGTTTTTTTTAAAAAAAAAAAAACTCGGCAAAAATTTCATCCCAATACAAAGTTTTCGACTCCTCAGACCATAACCTCGATTTTGTGTCACAGTCTAATAAGGTAAATTTAAAATTGTAGGGCGCCTCTCATAGTCATCCCCATCCGACATTGGACATTTCCTTACTAAGATATTCTTTCTCGTGAAACTATTACATACAGAAATCACCTTCCCAGAAAATCATCAACTTTCAACTAAAAACTTTCCTTTCACTACCGAAGGTTTCTTCTTTGCTTATCTTTACAAAAATAAATACGCATACAAAAAACTTTCCTTTACTTTTTGAAACTGCAACCTAATGAAAATGTCTACTTTGCATTCTGTTAATTAATGTCTGTCTTCCCTTTCATTTCTCTTTTTCTTCTTACCATTCCAAGGTTTTTGCTTCCTATTTACAATTCTGTGGCATTGGTCTGCGTAACGCTCAACTGTATGAGAAATCCCAGTTGGAAATCAAACGTAATCAGGTGTTGCTCGATTTGGCACGCATGATATTCGAGGAGCAGAGTACCATCGAACACATGGTCTTTCGTATACTAACCCATATGCAGAGTCTAATACAATGCCAAAGAGTACAAATCCTGCTGGTGCATGAGGCTTCGAAGGGTAGCTTTTCGCGGGTATTCGATTTTGAAGCTAATGACCTTAGCGAAGAGGAGTCGACGAATCGTACAAGTCCATATGAGTCGCGTTTTCCCATAAATGTGGGTATTACCGGACATGTGGCAACAACGGGTGAGGTAAGTAGGACATCTATATCAAAAATAAAATTAGTTTCCTCTCTAAATATTTTTGTTCTATTTTTTCCAGACCGTCAACGTTCCCAATGCCTATGAGGATGATCGTTTTGATCCCAGTGTAGATGAGGGTTCAAACTTCAAACACAAATCCATACTCTGTATGGCCATTAAGAATTCATTGGGTCAAATAATTGGTGTAATTCAGCTGATTAACAAATTTGATAATTTGGTAAGCCTCTTAAGTTATTTTTTTATTTTAAATCCCTTCTAAATTCGTTATTTTATTTTTCTCCCCACTCTCCCACCTTCAGGTCTTCACCAAAAACGACGAAAATTTCGTTGAAGCCTTTGCCATTTTCTGTGGCATGGGCATTCACAATACCCACATGTACGAGAAGGCCATTGTCGCCATGGCCAAACAAAGTGTTACACTGGAGGTATTAAGCTATCATGCCTCGGCAACAATGGATGAAGCTCATCGCCTAAGGGTAAGTTTGTTAAAGGAAAAGTTTCGCCTTTTTCGTTGCTTTGTTTTGTTTAAAGGATTAAAATGTCCAGTGAAAAGGTTTCCTCTTTTTTGTTGTTGTAATTAGATTTAAAATAAAGGACGGGTGAGTTGTTAAGTATATAGGCAGCTGGCTGATTAGGAAAATCGCCAATAAACATATTTTTCTACAACAATGCTAATTACCAACCATATTTAAAATGTCATTTCCACAAGAGTTGAAATGACAAAAGTTTTTTAAAGGGAGAGAATTATTAAAATATGTTGCTTTTTATTTGGATTATGATTACTTTCAGGGAAAACAAAGGGAAGTTTATAGGATTAAATTTTGGCACAACGTTTCTTTTTTATTTTTTAGGAATATTGTTTCCTATTAGACCAAATCCCCTTCTTATCTAATATACTCTTAATCACAGAATAATGAAACTAGTTGAGAAGATGTTGCATACTTTTAGGCTCTTCTAAAATGTCAACGATTAGAGCACGGCTCAATCAATAGGTACTTTATTTAGCGCAGCTGACTATTCGATTAACTGTCAAAGTGTGTAGTTTCTACTCGAATTTGACGCGCAATGTTGCCAACTATGAAAAATATTACTATATTAAATTTGACAGATGGTCGGATTACCTTACCTAGTATTTCTCATTGAAATAGGGACCTATATACAAGAAAAAAGAATTCACTTATGCAGATTATACCCTCCCCATAAGGTGGAGTGTATGTTATTATACCCTTCACCAGGTACAGGGTATTATGTCTTAGTGCATATGTTCGTAACAGGCAAAAATAAACGAGATAGACACATGGTTCCTTTTTAGAATATGCATAGAATCACTTTTTAAGTCCGTCTGTCTGTCCATGTTAAATTGTAAACAAAGTACAGGTCGCATTTATGATCCGAATTGGATGATATTTGGCATAGGTCGCTTATTTGGGCCAAGGACGAACCCTATTGAAATTGGGAAAAATCGGTTCAGAGTCAGATATAGCTCCCATATATATATTTAACCGATTTAATGTAAACGGTCCCTATATATCTTTCGATTTGCACGAAATTTGGTACAGCCTAATCATTTAGGTCTAGAATAATGTCTGCCAAGTTTTGTGAAAATCGGTCCAGATTTATATATAGCTCCCATATATAGTTCCGTTCGATTTCATGTAAATGGTGCCCCAAAGTCCACGAAATTTGGCATAACGTACTGAATTGAGCCTAGAATGAAGTCTGCCAAGTTTCGAGAAAATCGGTCCAGATTTAGATATAGCTTCCATATATATATATATATATATATATTTAACCGATTTAATGTTAACGGTCCCTATATATCTTTCGATTTGCACGAAATTTGGTACAGCCTAATCATTTAGGTCTAGTATAATGTCTGCCAAGTTTCGTGAAAATCGGTTCAGATTTATATATAGCTCCCATATATAGTTCCGTTCGATTTCATGTAAATGGTGCCCCAAAGTCCCTATATATCTTTCGATTTGCACGAAATTTGGCATAACGTACTGAATTGAGCCTAGAATGAAGTCTGCCAAGTTTCGAGAAAATCGGTCCAGATTTAGATATAGCTTCTATATATAGTTTCGTCCGATTTCATGTAAATGGTGCCCCAAAATCCCTATATATCTTTCGATTTGCACGAAATTTGGCACAGCGTAATGAACAAGGTCTAGAATGATGTCTGCCAAGTTTCGTGAAAATCGGCCCAGATTTAGATATAGCTCCCATATATAGTTTCGTCCGATTTCATGTAAATGGTGCACCAAAGTCCCTATATATCTTTCGATTTGCACGAAATTTTGCATAACGTACTGGATTGAGCCTAGAATCATGTCCGCCCAGTTTCGGGAAAATCGGTCCAGATTTAGATATAGGTCCTATATATAGTTTCGTTCGATTTCATGAAAATGGTGCACCAAAGTCCACATATATCTTGTGATTTGCACGAAATTTGGCATAACGTACTGAATTGAGTCTACAATGATGTCTGCCAAGTTTCGTGAAAATCGGTCAAGATTTAGATATAGCTCCCATATATATTTTCGTCCGATTTAATATAAATGGTGTACCAAAGTGCCTATATATTTTCCGATTTGCACGAAATTTGGCATAACGTACTGAATTGAGCCTAGAGTGATGTCTGCCAAGTTTCGAAGAAATCGGTCCAGATTTCTATATAGCTCACATATATAGTATCGTCCGATTTCATGTAAATGGTGCCCCAAAGTCCCTATATATCTTTCGATTTGCACGAAATTTTGCATAACGTACTGGATTGAGCCTAGAATGATGTCCGCCCAGTTTCGGGAAAATCGGTCCAGATTTAGATATAGATCCTATATATAGTTTCGTTCGATTTCATGTAAATGGTGCACCAAAGACCACATATATCTTGTGATTTGCACGAAATTTGGCATAACGTACTGAATTGAGTCTACAATGATGTCTGCCAAGTTTCGTGAAAATCGGTCAAGATTTAGATATAGCTCCCATATATATTTTCGTCCGATTTAATATAAATGGTGTACCAAAGTTCCTATATATTTTTCGATTTGCACGAAATTTGGCATAACGTACTGAATTGAGCCTACTGTGATGTCTGCCTTGTTTCGTGAAAATCGGTTCAGATTTAGATATAGCTCCAATATATAGTTTCGTCCGAGTTAATGCAATGGCACTAGCATTGACGGACCACACAGTAGCCGCGTAGTTTACCGCAGACCGTCCCGTCGCTGTATATTTTTTTAACAAAGGCTGCAGATTGAGAATCTTGTTCGTGCTCCTGATCTTATCGGACGACTTATAAAGGCTATCGAACGTGAGCCCTTGAACATTGGGGTGGTCGGAATTGTGCACGTGGGGAACTATAAGGGTGGCTAACGACAAATTGAAGATTTTACTGAGGTACTCTACTCTTGGCTCATCTAGCAGCTTCAACATCACCATAAATATCAGGATCAAGCGATTTGTCTGAATTTGAGCTTCTGGTGGTATTTGCAACATTCCCCTTAACGCCGTTAAAAGAGACAGAAATCGGATCATACTTCCTTCCTGGGTTCTAGAGCGACTTATCTGTTGGTCAAAATTGACTCACTCCGATACTGAGGTTACAACGTTTCAGATGTTCTAGCCAATTTTTAAACAAATGATCACTGACTAACATGTTGACCCCAAGTGTCAGTTCCCTGAACCTGGTGTTAGTAGGATTAGTACGACGAAGCTCATCACCCTCATTCCTAATCACGCTGCCTCTCAATTAAGTTTCTATTCGGTTATACAACCTGCATGTATATAGCGAGAGACTGCAACTGTAATGATGACCCGAAAATTCCTTTCTTCTGCCCGAGAATCAGAAGTATTGGGTAGTTCTCGAAATCGACGATTGGTGATATTTCCGAATTCTTGTCAATTGACTTTTCCACGGTTAAGTAAAGTATGGCGTTTAGTGGTTATGAAGTCGGGTGATCTATTGATTAATCTAATAGGTTGGCGGTCTGACGACAGTGAAATGACCTAATGGTTATGGCGTCTTTCACCGTTCAAAACCTTGAACTATATATATAACGCGGAAACAGCTATTTAACGGCGGAATGTATACGTTAAACACCTCTAACTCGGTGGTTACACACTGGACTGATACCCTATACATTTCATGTATGCTTCACTAGAGTCAAGCTTAAGCAAGGTAGACTTGTAGCAAACTATGGGGCTATAGGAATCCTAGACCTTCACTTATTGTACGATCCTTCCTTAAAACCTTGTATCCATCAAAAATCTGAGGACTGCTGGTGTTATTCACCTTCGTTTCCTGGGTCGATATGACAATTTTTATTTTCTTTCCCTCACGGTCCATCGCAGTCGAATTAGAAAAATGAGACATTATCGAAAGTTGGGCAGCAATGTGCAGAGTCAGCGGTGCAGAAATTCCAAGCTTTATTGAAATTAATTTTTGCTTTCAGAAATTTGACAATGTTGACTTTATGGCAGATAATTGGAGACTGCACTACCGGGAAAGTCAGTGACTAAATACTGGACATTTTTGCACATACATCGCCTATTACAACCTCGTAGCCTCGTTTTATTTGGAGTTTGGTCGTTGAACTATTTGCTCAAAGAATTATTCCGCAAAAGGAGCGAAATGATATAGATCGAACCGATTCATTAAAAGGATTGGCCAACTCTACCACACACATTAAAATTGGGTATTTTATTAACAGTGTCTGGCATACACGGAATCGTTCAGCCAGTCAAAAGTGATTTCTTTCCAAGAAATATTTTTTTTATTTTCAAAATTTGAAAGAACACTTAAAATTGAAGAATTTACATCATCCTAAGACCACATAGTGTACACATAGGCCAAGGGTGTGGTCTTTAATTTCATATTGGAACTAAAGGCCATGGGTCTATTATTATTAAACCATCCATATATTTGTAATTAATTTAAAAGAACTTCCTGAAAACGATCCAACGACCACACAAATGACAGCTGGTATACTTAAACGCCCACAAACGGTTTAAACAAACCACATTACAATTACTCCAAACACACATTCTGTCCCTAATGCCTTCCCTTTTTCTAAGATGTCTTCTTAATTCACACTCCAGCACATATTTAAAAGAAGGAAAAAGGATAAACCCTTGTCACCGTATAGGACATTTATGAAAGTTTTAATTTTGTTTTTGTTCGAGAAAATCCTTTTTAGGAATATTTGTTGGGATTACCACAAACACCAGTCGTTTTCCAAAGTGGATTGTTGGGTGTTTGTCGACACAAAACTAGAATTTATGGTCGCTGTCGTGATGTGGCAAACATTTTGGGTTACAACCGAAAACTTCTCGCAAACAAGGATAATGTGAAAGAAGTTCAAAGCTGTAAGGGTTAGATAAGAAATAACAAAATAAATATCACCAAATAATTTTATTTATTGAAAACAAAACAAATTTTTGGAAAATTGGTGTAAAGGACTATGGCTATGCGTGTCATTTATTTGTTGAACTTTGTTAGCCTAAATGGGAAAATATTTAAATTTCTTTTGATTATAAAATTCAAGATTTATGCTAGTTTGAGATTCGGCCCAATTTGTATAACCTATTTCCCATTTTAACACATTGAATCTTCTTAAACCCTCCTTACAAGAAATGTGTTAAATTTTACTTTCTAACAACATGGATTATTAATTGTCTTCGTATCCTTTTTCTAAAGCCATTAGTAATAAAACAGCAACAAATTGTGGCTGTAGTTGTACCACAAAAACACTTCTTCTTCTTGGTCTTCGTAGGAACATAAAGATTCACTGATTATTAAGATAAAGTGCTAAAGACATAAATAATTCCAAATACCCCTTTTTATACAAGGATAACAAGTGAAATATGGTTTTCACTTTTTAATTTGTGTTATATAACGGGTAACAGAAGAAGGTATTTCAGAGAATTTATAAAAGTTGTTAGTGGTATCTTATGATGGAAATTTGTTAGAATTAAAAGTTATGGTTATTGCGGGTTGTATATTAATAAATGGACTTGTTAGTTAGTATATTAATATTAATTGCTGGAGAATATTTAATAATAAAATTTATAAATCTAATACAAGGACCATAGAAAGTGTTCTTACCGTTGATAAGAACACATTTATTCTATAATAAAATATATAAAATATTCTTGTTATAAAAAGTCCTATAGAAGTTTATGAAGTTCACCTGTAGGCCTATTCTGTAAATTTTTACCACATTCGATATTGTTTAAATTGCTTTTTTATTATAAAAACAATAAAATAAACAAATTAAATTGTTGTAAAATATCGAATGTTGTTAAAAATGTACAATAGACCTACTGGGCTCTAAAAACTCTTGAGTTGGGCAATTTCATTCTTGAAAAGGTTCGATATTTTTGTTTCGCTCTGAATATCATTTATCCAGATCTTTTTAATTTGTTCCTTGTGCGGAATAGTTTCATTGTACTAGTTCGTCAGGAACGACTGAACTCTAGTTTGTTGTATACAGAGATTAAAGAAGGGATGCTAAGGATTGGAATATAACAAACTATGCGTCCGTTATAATGGAGAATAACAAGATTGAAGAATGGAAATCGTTCAATTTGAACACAGTTTATTCTTGAAACCCCCTGAAAATGTCGAAGTTAGCCATGAGAGAATATTGCAGTCATTACAAGCTTAGTTTCAACGATAACGGTAAATGAGCAAGAGCGGTATGAAAAAATATAACGTTAACGAAGAATTACAACAAATTGCAGAGAAAATCGTTCATTAGGATCACAGTTGATTAAATTACCACTACATAGAAGAAAGTAAAGGATAAACAATTGAAAACAAATTCCATGACCTAGAGACATGAGTGCACGAACTGCAATTGGATACACAAAGGAATAAAACATAGTCGGGAATTATTGAATCAAATCACAATGCGAAGTTTTTGGAAGTTGATTTGGTTTCGTCGGGTTGTGCTTGTGATGCAATCATGCACCCGCTGTAAACCGTGTTGAGACTTCATTACATTACACTGCACACATTGATGTGTGTGGTCTTAAAATGAACGAATTTGTTCAAAGGAACTATCGGTACTAAGTCCTGTTTTTTCTTTCATTTTGATCCAATCGTTCATTCTGCGCCCCTCGATATTCGGTCTGGTATTAGAGAATTTGAACCATGTTAGAGGATTTGAACCCGTTTGTACTATATTTCATAATCCGTACATTTCTTAACCATGGAAAAAATAATTGCAAGAATTGTTCAATCGATGTTCGGGAAGTAGAAAGGAATTTCCATTCGCCAGATATATACCTGCGAAACTTCCCAACAGTGTTAGCGGAATTATGAAATTAGTGTGAGGAGTTTCGTCGTATTAACCCTACTGACCTGGAGTAAATTTCCTAGGCCAACTCATCTCAGTGTCATAGCAGAGTTTTTCCGTGCGAGAAGTATAATAAAGGCATTTAAGTCACTTGCCGGCTTTATTTAGGTGATAGCCTGACCTATGATAATCTATGATACTGCCACAACATGTTGCCCATGTTATAAGTCTTTGAGTGTTAGAAAAGCAGTCATCCAATCCACCATCTACAGGGTGAGATAAAAAAACTGCAACAAACACAAATGCCATAATTTTTACATTTTTTTAATTTTATTGAATGAAAGCAAAAAATTTCGGATATAGCATCAAATTTTAGAATAAGTTTAGATTTTTTCGAATTGGTCACCTTTGGCATGAATTATGGCCTTCGAACGGCCAATGAAACCGTCACACGCTGCCCGAATATTGCTCTCCGCTATTTTGTCCCATTCCCGGCGAAGCGCTTGCTTGAGGTGAACGACACTTTGGTATAATACACTTTGGACACAATAGTCCAACGGATTGGTATCCGGAGGTTTTGGTGGCCATTGTGCGCTGGAAATGAAGTGAGGAACCCCATTTTGTAACCATTCTTGGGGGCGCGTGCTGAATCCTGTTGGAATGTCCAAGGTCTGCGGCGAAAATGTTTGCGTACCCAAGGCTTTAATGCACCCTCCAGAATATTTTCGCTATAATATTGGCATTTATTCTGATGCCACGGTCGATTAATAAGAGCGGAGAGCGACCATCGACTGTTATGGCGGCCCACACCATCATCAAGGCCGACGCTTGAGTTCTGGTGGCCAACCGAAGGTGCACATTTTCAGCTGACCTCTTTGGCAATTAAACACGATCATTTTGTTTGTTTACAATCTGCTGGGCAACGAATGTTTTGTCATCGGAAAAAACCAAATTCGGCAGTTCACCACTTTCGGCCAAACGAATCAACTCTTTTGCACTTTGTTGCTGTTTTCTTCCGTCCACTTCTTTGACATCGGGCTGCGCTACCAGTATCTCGGTAACGACCGATGGTACGAGGCACAAAAGATTTATTCACATTTAAATGCTGGAGTACTCTAACGATAGCCACTTGTGGTTTTCCAGCCAAATATAAAGAAATCACACAATCACGCTTGAATTCCATCACGAATAACTTTCTGGAAAATTCGCAACAAAATGTTTTTGTTCGCTTATAAACAATATAATGAGCTGTCACTGGGTAGACAGCAGCCACCAAAGCATATCGGGAAGAATCTGTACCATCCACCGAGCGAGGTCCAGTCGACTTTTAGATTTTGGCCTTTGACTAAAATTCGATCTTTCGCTATTGTCAAACCTGTTCAAAATCGACTTTCGAATTTTGACGACTAATGCAAAATATAGTAAAAATTCGATAGAATGTGTAGTTTTGGTTTTATGATAATAAACCAAGTATTTATGAAGAAAATTGAAACTCGACGTTGCTATTTCCTCAAAGATCACAATTCGACATTAAGACTTTTCAATACTAAAAGTCGATTAATCGTTTAGTCGAAATTCAATTTACTTCTCCTTAATTACAACGCAGCTAAAGATGAACTATCCGATTTTTACCAAACTTGGTACAACCTATTATCTTTACATAGCTTAGGTCAAGTCCGAAGATAGGTCCATTCCTTTTGGTACCTTCTCCACAAATCGTCAACATTTTCATTATTTATAAATCCAATATCAGACGATGGAATATCAAATTTACATTCCTTTGTGGACGAGGTTCTGAAAGAGTGAACCCTACACTTTATCTTCGGATATGATCTAGATATTACTTTATGTAACATTTTTTGAAAATGTATGTTGTGAGGATGATGCCAGAATGCGGGAATATTCAGTTCTCTTCAAGAGAAATCCTCCATTTCCGAACATAAAATAGGTTTTGCAAATTTTATATAAAAATTACTTTCTACGAAATTTATCGTGTGCAACTTCCACTCAAATGGATAAACCGACGAACGGGCGGGCAATACTAAATCGACTCCAAAATGTCTAATACCTGTTTGGTCCAAATATACTTCAGGCCTAAAATCGATTTTCGTTGTATACATTGTAAATCTTTATTAGCCCTGATGCTTAAATAAAATAAATAAATTTCACCATTGCATATTTATTCCAAACATAGACTATTGCATACGATAACTATTCAATCCAATTCATCAACACAGTTATTATATAAAATACTATCTATGAAAAGTTGTCCAAAAATATCAACAAAATAATAATAATAATGGCAGGTTTTTAGTATAGCATATCTAGAACACCTTCTATCTATATCCTGGACATTGATTTAAATTTATTCCACTAATTAAAATTCCCCCAATGAGTAATCAGAAATTTCTTTTCATGTTGATTAACAAATTTCAAATTAACCTACAAATCAAAACCCTGCCCATCAACATATAATGACCAAGCAGCATTAATTAGGCAGGGAATATAATTAATTATTGTTATGGTTACACTGATGTTGTCACCGTTGTCATAATCAGCAGAAATATTAACTAATCTTATTTTTCTCTTGTTCATTTACAGCGTTTACGCGTACCCTCTGCTGCTCATTTCCGTTTACATGATTTCCGTTTTGACGACATCCATTTCGAAGATGATGATACTTTAAAGGTTTGTAATTTCATGCTGTGGCTAGTGGGTGGAATATATTTTAATAAATTTATTGTTTTCTTCTCTTGTCATCTTCTTCTTCGTTGTTAATTTAGGCTTGTTTACGCATGTTCTTGGATTTAGATTTCGTTGAACGTTTCCATATCGACTATGAGGTCCTGTGTCGCTGGTTGCTGAGCGTTAAGAAGAATTATCGCAATGTTACGTATCATAATTGGCGACATGCTTTCAATGTGGCCCAAATGATGTTTGCTATATTGACGGTAAGTAGTATTTTGGGTATAGTTAGTTGATGAAGAGGAATATTTTAGAATTTATTTGATATTTTAAGATTTAAAGAATGTCCTTTTTTAAATAAATTTAAGTAAAAGTAAGGTTATGGTAGATTTGAGGATGTAATGAGTAATAAAATAATTAAAAGTAATTAATTTTGAATTAAGAAACAGATTGAAAATTGTGCTTTATTTGACGAAATCCACAAATTCCTTGTTAAAAATATAGCATACTTTTAGGCGCTCTAGGAAATGATCACATTGACAATAAATTGGTTTATAATTTGTGGAAGTAATAAGAAACTTATTTAATTTATATTGATTTTTATGATTGCTAACACAAAATACGTTTTATTCGAAACCTTTTGCATGCAAAATTCTTTAATATTGGCCACATTTGTTTATTCTCTTTAATTTCCTCCTTACTTTTACTTAAGTTTACTTTTTTGTCTTCTAATTAATTTAATTATTTTATTTAAAAAATAAATATTAAGTTTTCATTTGGCCCCACCTTAAATATACACATTTTGCGCTTTTATTAATCAAAGATTTCCCATCACGGACAGGCCACCCAATGGTGGAAGATATTTGGTGAAATGGAATGTTTGGCGCTGATAATAGCTTGTCTGTGTCACGATTTGGATCATCGGGGGACCAATAATTCATTTCAAATTAAGTAATACTCCTAAAATACTTCTATCATATCACTTTATTAAACATAACTCTTACTACAGGGCCTCTTCACCCTTGGCCCAGCTGTATTCCACCTCCACGATGGAACATCATCATTTCGATCAGTGTCTAATGATTTTGAATAGTCCCGGCAATCAAATATTGGCCAATTTATCATCGGAAGATTATTGCCGTGTTATTAAAGTATTAGAAGATGCTATATTATCCACCGATTTGGCAGTATATTTGAGGTAAGTTGGAATAGTTTTTTACTTATAAAAGAATAAATAAATGTAATCTGTTTTTTTTTTTTTTTTTGGTTTCCAGAAAACGTGGTACATTCTTACAGGATGTCCACCAGCAACCTTTGAGTTATTGGATTGATGAGGAGCCACGCGCCTTATTGCGCGCCATGAGCATGACAGTCTGTGACTTGTCCGCTATAACTAAACCCTGGGATATTGAAAAACGTGTTGCCGATTTGGTTAGCTCGGAATTCTTTGAACAGGGTGATATGGAAAAACAGGAATTAAATATAACGCCCATTGTAAGTATTAAATGTTGAACATATAACTGTAGAAAATATTATATTATATTTATAGAAGACCTATGGGTACAGGTGTAGGATATCTTTATTCTATGAAAGTTGTAGTTTTCCAATATATGTATAGTTTTTTATAGCATCTGTGTAAGCTAGAAAGTCGTCTATCTTAAGAAGAAAAGTTCTATATATATGGTGCTAATATAGATCATCTATAAATATTATTATTACTGGACTATACTTAAGTTCAATAGTTAAGTTCTATCTAATGAGATCTTAGAGAAAGAATATTCTTTATTGGAAGCCTGAAAAGACTTATTTATTGTTATCAGTACTATTTGCAAAATAAATTCTATATATAGAAGACATAAGAATGACTGGTCTTCATTAGAAGTCAGAAAGAGCCGTTTTCTGTCTAAAATGAACTGAAAAATATATTCTATTGATAGAAGAGTTGAAACAAGAAATATGTAAAATGTAGTTTTTTCAGTAGTTGATCAGCTGAAAGACTTCATACACACATTATCGCGTATTGGCGTTTTTATTCTTAACATACCTCAGTTGAGCATGACTCCCCCTGGATATTTTTTCGTAAACTATTTTATCAAAATGCATTTTGTCGAGTCTTTACGGTTTCTATGTTGTTGAGAAGACCTATGAAAGGTTTCAGTCAATTGAAACTTGTACAGCTATTCGGTTGAATTTTTTGCTATAAAAGCCTTGACAAGTTCACCATCTTCTAGGCTCGAGAAAGGTGACAAATCTTTATACCTGTAAGATCTACAGTCAATGTTTGGTAAAATTCTGAATTTCAAGTATTAAGAGGTATCGACCATGACGTCCATTAAAAGTCTTCTGTCTTTATAGGATAATTTGTAGTTATAAGACGTTTTGCAATCCTTCTATATTCAGAATGAATGCCTGTGTAAATTCTTTGCTTTTTAAGTGTTCGAAGCGTTGCTTGTCTTTGAAATACATTTATGAGATCATTGGTCAATTTAAAGTCTTTTGAATGTCATATATCGGATTTCAGTGTATTGGACTCCTTGAGAACACAACCTGTCTTTTGCAGACCTCTAACAGAATTTCTGTTTTTTTTTAACATCGGAAAAGTATTCGAACTCTGTAAGATTTGTGAAAGCTCTTCTCTTCTTTCTGCTTCTCAAGAAGCATAAGCATTAGAAGTGCAAAAAGGTATCCTCCTCTCTTTTAATAAGTTCTCTATATCTGCAGCCTTAGGATTAATGAAGGTATATACATTTTGATACTAAAACTTATTTTATAATATAAAACTAAAAACTTATTTTATAATATAATGCAATGGTCTATGCGATTTGAACTAAGATTTTTACAACCGATTTTTTACTTACCGAGGAAATGACCCATTGGTCCACTTCTTCTGGTACCTTCCCCACAAATGATCATCATGTTCAATATCTAAAAATGCAATATCAGGCGAAAGGAATATCCGATTTAAACCAAAGTTTGTACAACCTATAACCTTTACCAAGCCTAGATCAAGTCCCAAAGGAGAGACCCGCGACCCTCTCCTTCTATAACTTTCCCCACAAAGTGTCAATATTTTATAGACTTGTAAATATAATTTGAAGGGAATTTTATAATCGATTCGATCAAAATCAAACCCAAAACATATTTTATATTAGCATATATCTTATATAAATCGAATAATAATACCGGTGTGTAATTCTGAAGGTCATTGGTTGAGGGTGTATATCTGTCGGCAACACCGACTGACTCTTTTTTACTTGTTGAAATAAGTTCTAAACCCATATATCGTTATTGTTCCTCTAGAAGGTCATCTGTATTTAAAGTACTTATGGAGGCTACCTGTCTTTAGAAGTACTTGTCTTTGGAAGACATGTAGGAGGTCATGGGTTATTAAAAGACGTTTGGAAGATCTTCTGTCGGTAGAAAAAATGTTAATGCTCTTTAGATAACTTCTTAAGCAGATTATCTGTCTTAAAATACCTTTAGAATAATTTGTCTCTTGAAGATTATTAATTGAACTTCTGCTTTATAAAGCCTATATAAAGTACATTATGATCAGAAGATCTCTACAGTCTATTGAACTTCTTCAGAACACCTTTTCTCTTTAGGAAACCTTTAGAAGGAAAATCTTTGAGCCATTCATGGTTCCAAAAGCCTTGGAACATTTTCCTTCTTTTTCATTTTTGGAAAATTACGTTTGTAGAAAACCCTATATAGAGTCTCTTGACTTCAGAAGATCCCGAAAAGTATTCCTCCCTAGTAGTTCTTCATTTACCAAATAACTATCTACCTAGCTTTAGTCTTTAGAACACCTTTTAAAAGTCGTATAGAGTCGGACTTTTGAAAGCTCTACTATCATCAGAAGATCTTTAACAGACCTTCTATATTTTTAGTATTACTTATGTTTAAAAAACCCCTATAGGAAATCTCTTATCTTTAGAATACTTTCATAAGGTATTTCTACACTAAAAGCTTTTAAAAAGTTTATTTTAAAGAATAATTAATATAGCTATGATAGAACTTTAGAATATTGTCTGGCTCTAGAATATCTTAAGAAATCGGTTGCCTTTAGAAAATCTGTAGAAGCTCGTCAGTCTATTTGAGAACACATTTAGAAGTATTTTCGAATTTAGGAGACGTTTGGAGAGTATTAGAGCTGTAGTAGATTTTTGAAAGATCTTCAGTATTGATTCCCAAATATGAGATAAATAAACAACAAATTCACACTGAAATACTTTTTGTCAAGGTAAAGATAGAATACGTTATATCTATAGAAAAACTTTGAAACGTATTCCAATTTTAGAAAATTTCTAGAAGTGCGTCTATACTTAGAAGAAGTTTAATAAAATATCTGTGGTTTTTGAAAGATCTATCTATGACAATACTTTAGGAATGAGTTTCGTATTTATGGGAACTCTGGAGGATTTTCGTATTAACGATATCTTTGGAGAGCATTCGAGATATATTAGATTTTTGAAAGATATTCTGTGTTACTTAAAAATGTTATACTCAACGAAAATTTCGTATAGTAATGCTTTTGCCAGTCAGGTCAATTTCGAATATGCGTTATATCGGTTCATGCTTGGGTATAGCCTCCATATTCGATATTTTGAGTACATATTGATCGCTCTATTAAAATGTATCCGTATCAATCTCTGCTCTTTTTCTAAGACCTTGAAATAATATATAAAACAAATTTACGCCATAGGTTGGACATGGACATAAAAACTTATACTCCTATTGATAGTTTAAATCTATAAATTATTACCATGTATAAGTATTAAAAATTCAATCACCGCGATCCTCCATGCGTATAAGTGTTGTCGTTACTTACGCGACACATGTGTTTCTATTCGTATTAAAAGTTTGGAAATACAGTAAAGTACAGTACGTTATATTAAGTTCCAAAATATGTAATTTTTGTGTCCTTCTTGGCAATACTTTCACTGCTTCTGATTTCCTTTGATGAGCCTGAGATTTTTTGTAAAAATTACCAGCATTAAATTAATTTTTGAAAAGGTTTGTCATCGTTAAGTATTTTCTACATTTATAGCAAGTTCGTTATAACCGAATTAAAATAAATGAAAACTGAAAGATGTGACCGAATAAATAGTTTGTTATAAAAAAAGTTCGCTATATCCGAAGTTCGCTATAAGAGTAGAGATTTTATGGAAATTGTGTATTAAAACGTCGGGACCAGGAAATGTGTTCGATATAACCGGTGTTCGTTATAAGTGTACTCGACTGTATAAAGAAGTTAATCAAACACCCCTAGACTTGGGTTATACAAAGACACAATATGTTTTAAAAAATCTTGTGTTATGGCTTCAAAATATTTGTTGAAAAATCTACTCCTCATGATGGTCCTTAAATTAAAACAGCCACGTTTAAGTAAACGGGTACCTTCCGATTTTCGGTATATTACATTATCCAATTTAATAGGTTGTGATAGCACCTTCTGAATTTCGATATTTTAAGGATTTTGTACAAGCAATTTGGTAGTAAATATTGGATAGTAAATCTTCTTAGCAAAAATAGTCAATATTGGTCTACCCATAAAATTATATCTTCCGATTTTTGGTATTTTGACAATTTATATAATATTTTCTAATGGATTGGATCGTTATTTGATAATTTGGTTTCTGATTATGTACCAAACCTCCATACCATGAGTTAGACAGATATGGCTCTCAAACAGCTACTACTTTATAATGACATTTTTAATTTATAAAATGTAATGACACTCCTCTCTCTCCCTCTCTCTCTCTTACAGGATATAATGAATCGTGAAAAAGAAGATGAATTACCCATGATGCAAGTCGGTTTTATCGACTCCATATGCTTGCCAATATATGAGGTATGTTATCCATATAAAATACAATATGGCCCCTGAATAATAACATTTCACTTTCTCCTCTCCCGTCTAGGCCTTCTCTGTATTATCGGATAAATTAGAACCATTAGTTGAGGGTGTACGTGATAATCGCCAACATTGGATTGAATTGGCTCAGGGTGTTGAAACCAAACAGACAAAGAAAAGCAATGGCATTGTTAAGGCCAAAAATACTAAAAATAATCACAACCACAGCAACAACAATAGTTGTAATAACAATAACAGCAAAAATACTAACAATATTAATAAACATGAAACATCTGCAAATGGTGGTAGTGATCTCAGTTCTGATGTTAATGATGCTCCCGTGGATTCTGAAGATACTTTACAAAATGATGCAACCACCACCGATGAATGTCCTGATGAGGCCGAAGAAACTGGTATTGAGGCAGATGACGATGACTCCGAAGTTGAAATTGAACATCATACCAATGACGATGATGATTATAGCAGTGATTCAAGTCATCTTTCAACACCACCACCGACGGGGGAAGAGGATAGTTCTCCGACGTCACCGGCTAAAACGGAAGCGGCCACGAAAAAACAGGCCCAGTTAATGGTTGAAAATCTTGAGAGTCTTAATCATAATCCTTTGCACAAGCAGAGCAAATCCTCCTCGTCAACTTCGTCGTGTAGAAATTGTGAGTGTATGCGTTTGAGGAAGACATCGTCGCTGAAGGGAGCCAGTGATTATCAGCCTCACTGCAGTGGCAATAGATCACATAGTAAGAGTACACCCTCAATGACAAGTTGTGGTACGACACAGGGTGCTGGTCACCAACATAATACCTCCTCCACCTCATCCTCCAAAGAATGTCAATGTCATCAGAATAGTAATCGTGGTGGTGGTGGCGGTCATCACCACCATCATCATCATTCGAAACACAGTCATCATCACCAAAGTTTGGCTAATACACCGCATCACAGTGGTCACCATCATCATCATTATCACCACCATCATCATCACCATCAGAGTAATAGTTTAGGTGGTGGTGGTGGCAACGGCGGAGCTGGCAGTGGTGGTTCCTCTTTGTGTGGTGGCCTCTCAAATAACTCCAGTTTATCGGAAAGTGATAAAATACCAAAAATTGTTGGTAAGTTGGGAAATCTCGATGCATTGCATCATGTTGCCGGCGGTGCGACAACCACAAATGGTTCAGGCGTCTTAGCTACACCACCAAATGGTTTGTGTGGTTTTGGGGTACCAACTCGTTTGGGTTCCCGCCGTCATTCCGAAGTGGTGAATGGTATGACGTTAAATTTAAATTCCAATTTGAATTCCTGCAGTACAAGTAATGTTACCACCAACCTATCACCGGTGGTAACACCTCCCATGGTGGCGGCCATAGCAGCGGCAGTACCAGTTTTAACGCCCGATATAATATCATCGGCAGCACTAGCAGTATCATCGCCAACAACCCCAACAAAATCAGCAGCACCATCATCAACGTCGTCATCGAGAACCGAATCCGCAGCAGCAGCCACATCAGCGCCAGCATCAACAGCTGTAGAATCAGCAACCACGTGTGATAAGTAAATTTTAGTGAAACCCGAAAAATAAATGTGTGTGGTAGTGGTAAAGACAATTTGTGATTTATTTTTTTTCTCCTCTTTTGTTTTTGTAAAAAATTCAATAAAACAACAATAACAATAAGAATAATTGAATGTGGATTAGATAATGTTACACCATATACCGATATTTTGAAGTTGATTTGGGAAAGAAAAGGACTACGATTTTGAAACAATTTGTATTTGAAGGAAACGTGAGTGTCCATCTTTTGTTTGGCCACCATTGCGAATTATATAGGTCCTCAATCATATGAACCAATGTTTTCGGTATTATTGTCCGTTCTTGGTTACAATTGTGAAATAATTTCAAGTTATTAATTATCTCTGAGACCCTATGTGGAACTATGAAGAATATGAAAGTTGTCCGATTTCACAAAAAATAAAGCCAATAATATGAACATTTCTCTTCAGTAGAGCTGATTCCATTTGTGAATGCTGTCCAATTTCACTGTTCAGTACAAGTGTGTCTATATTAGAGGTGGCTTAGTCATTAGCAGATCCATGAAATTTTTGTTCCAATAGAAAACCTGTTAATATTCATTCTTTGGAAGATCTTTATATAGGGCATCCTGTACATATAGTGGTTTATGTCTATAATCCGTTTATGTATAAGGCCTTCAGATGTTGGGGGACTATAGAAACCCTTTTAGAGGTCATTTGTCTACCTAAAAAGCAAAACTCTTCTAGAACAGAGTAAAAAGTGCAAAGTTCGCCTTTCTGTCCATATCAATGCTCTGAAAGATTTGCAATGAAGTTTTGATATTTTATCGGGTCAAATTCTCATATAGCATATATGGCATAACATTTGGGCATTGTCGGCATAGAAACGTACCTTCCGAATTTTAGTTTTTGGAGCATTTTTCGACTGAATGGATCATAGTTGGCTTCTGATTAGATGTCAAATCTTTATAAAAACAATTATTTACATCGATCCTTCCACCCATAAAATTTAAAGAATTGAGGATATATTTTTCAATAGAATTGAATGAACATTGATTATTTTCGGTTCTAAATGGGTACCAAACATATCTACTAAAAATTATGAATATTGATAAATTCTATGTTATACCCCCACCTCCTATTCGGAATTATAAATGTTTCTGAGCAATGTTCAACTTATTTGGCTATAGTTTTATATTTTGAGGATTTTGGAACCCAATTGCCTGTAATTTCATATTTTGGTTTATGTCTAGTTGGCAAACCTCTCTACCAAAATTGAGGAATATTGGTCCATGCTTCGAGGTAAGCCTCTAATAACGGTACACCATAATTTTCAGAATTTAAAAGATTTTAGGACATATTTTCGAACCGAATTGACTGTAATTTGATTTTGTGGGTTCTAATTAGGTGACAAACCAAAAAATTTAATATTGGTCCTCCCTTAGGTATAGCCCCCATATATCGATACCCTTCGATTTTCCTTATTTTAAGAATACTTGGCTGCATTTTTCAACCGAATTGAATGTAATTTGATATTTTAGGTTCTGATGAAGTGAAGAACCTCCTCACCAAAAAGTATAAACATTGGTCCACATTAAATATATAGCCCTCCATATAAAGGTACCTTCCGATTTTCGATTTTTTATGGATTTTGGACACGTTTTTCAACCGAATTGGTTGAAATTTGACATTTCTGATTCGGATGAAGTGAAAAGCCTCCCTACCAAAACTTTTATATATTGGCCCAAATTTAGGTATAGCACCCATATAAAGATAACCGCCGATTTTCGATATTTTTAAAATTTTGTCCACATATTGTCTGTAGTGGGATATATTGATTTATGATTGAGTAGTAAATCTCTCTACCAAAAATTATCTGTATCAACACACCCTGTATCTGTATCGAACCACCCACCTTCCGATTTTCGATTTTTTAAGGATTTTGGACACTTTTTTCAACCGAATTGGCTGTAATTTGATATTTTGAATTCTGATGAGATGAAAACCTGTGTACCAAATAACACATCAACATTTTGTTAAAGTCCCCCATATAAAGGTACCCGCCGATTTTGGATTTTTTTTGTATTATTTTGTCTATATTCTTCAACGGATTTGGTTGTAATTTGATGTATTGGGTTAGGATTGAGTAGTAAATCTCTCTACCAAAATTTATCCATTTCAGTCCACGTTTAGGTATAGTCTCTATATAATGGTATCTTCCGATTTTCGATATTTGCATATTTTTTGCAATTTTTTCCAACCGAAATGACTACAATTTAATATTTTACGTTCTGATAAGGTAGTAAACCTTCCTACCAAAAATAATAAAAATGGGTCTACAATTAGGTATAGCCACAATGTAAAGATTTTGGGTATATGTTCATCCCCAATTGGCTGCAATTTGGTATTTTGGGCTATTATTAAGTAACGACAAAAACAATCGACATCAGTCCTATTCCGACCGAATAGGCTGTAATTGTAATTCCTACAAGAAGCTATCAATACTAATCAACGTTTTAGGGTAGTCTCCATATAACTGTGTACCTAACAAATTTCGGTATTTTTAGGAGTTTATGGGCATTCTCATTGGGTAGAAAATCTGCCAAATCTGTTCACCAAATTATAAAAATTTTTACGATATTTGGCTATATCCCATATATATAAAGGTCCAGCGACCGTATCCAAAATTGTTGTAAAAAGTTCTGCCCTTTATATGATATTACATATAACGACTATTGCTTATGGAGACCATTTTTCCGGTCACTTGAACGCCGTTATATGCGATTCTGAATGCACTTGCATAGTTCTGGCACATTTTCCTTTACATAAATTTTCACTTATGTTGAATGTGCACCTTTGGTGGAGGGTATACGAAGTTCGTCCCGATCGAACTTATATTACTAGTTGAACGCCCTCTGTTTCCATTCCAAGGTAATAAACAGAACATTCAAAGGTTTGAAAAATGTTTGCATGTAACCGTCTTTATGAAATGCAATTCACATACACATGAAGATATTTTTATAGTAATTTCTTTTTTTTTTTTTTTTTTGTGAAATGCACTGCTTTTTTCCCTGATATAAGTTCCCCATTAAAAAAATCTTCATCGTGAGTGTAACTGAGAGAAATCAAATCCAAAATCAAATCTGTGTATGTTTTTGTTTTGTTTTAAAAAAAAGTAAAAGTATAAATCTTATTAAAAAAAATATAAAACTTATTAAAAAATCTAATAAGAAATAAAAATTCATAAACAATTTGTAAGATACTGCTATGCAAAAAAATGATTATAAATAAAAATCAAACTCCTAAATATAAATAAACAACAACATTAATCATACATACCAATAAAAACTAAAATATTTCTAAACAAAAATTTAAGGATTGTTATTTAATAATAATAATAATAATAAAACAAAAATAAAAACACCCATATATAAGAAATTGTGTTTCCTATTAAGCTACGATTATTAACACAGACCCCCTAAAATTGTATAGTTATTGTTAAGGAAAAATGATAAATACAAATAATAATTATTTAATTAATAATAATTTTATTAATCAACATAGTTGACCTTAAAATAATAATAATACTATTTCTAATAATAAAATCAAACATAAATCAAATGTAGTCATTTCAATTCATAAAAAATATATAAATAATAATCTTCATATTTATAAATTAGTAAAAATTTGTTTCTCCTTTATTTATAGCTGTAAAAAAATGAAAAATTTAAAAGAAAACAATTTAAATAATAAAAAAACAACTACTACTACATATAAAACATATGCAAGTCAATTTATTTCTTATATCATTACGAATTTGTTTGGTTTTATTAAAAAAATAAATAAAATTGGAAAAAATAAATATTCATAAATAGTAAAAACTAAAATTTGTATTTTTTCTTTTCCCAAAAAATAAGTAATTTTAGGAATTAATGACCTACAGTCCAACATGGTTGCAAAGAACAGACTGATTTTAAAAGGTCTTGTTAAACAGATTTACATGTGCCTGATTTGCTATGACATCCATTTTATATAGCCTTGACATAGTCCCCAAAAAAGGTTCCATTCGGTATTTTTAAGCTTTTATTCACATTTTCCCAACAAAGTGGCTGTAATTTGGCACTCAATATGTTGACGATTTTTTTCAAATTTTCCCTTAGAATTGGCTGTAATTTTATATTTTGGGTTCTGAAGGATTCTGATTAGGTGGAAAACCTCCCTACTGAAAATAATCAACAATGGTCCACAATAAAGTATAGCCACCATGTAACGGTACTTTTTTATTTTCGGACTTTTAATGATTTTTGACACATTTCACAAAATTGACTGTATTTATACCCTATTATAGCTTTGTGCAGCCCCAAGAGTTTGTAACGCCGCGAAATATTGGTCCTAGACCCACCTTTAAGTATATCGATTGTCATATCTCGACTAGCTGAGTCGATCTAGGCATGTGTGTCCGTCCGTCCGTCTGTCCATTATACTTTGTAAACACGATACAGGCCACAGTTATGGTTTGGCCCAATGAAGACCCCTATTGTTTTTGGTAAAGATCGGTTTATATATAGGGGATGAAATGGACCAAATACTTAATTTTTTTCCGTATTTCTGGTCGCTCCAGAAGCCGCAATTATGGCCTGAACATCGTGAAATTTTACATGGAGAAGGTACAACGTAATGAATTAGGTCTAGAATGATGTGTGCAAAGTTTCGTGAAAATCGGTTCAGATTTGGATATAGCTCCCATATATATTTTCGTCCGATTTAAGGTAAATGGTGTACCAAAGTCCCTATATATCTTTCGATTTGCACGAAATTAGGCGCAGCGTAATGAATTAGGTCTAGAATGATGTATGCAAAGTTTCGTGAAAATCGGTCGAGATTTAAATATAGCTCTCATATATATTTTCGTACGATTTTAGGTAATTAGTGCACCAAAGTCCCTTTATATCTTTCGATTTGCACGAAATTTGGCATAGCGTACTGAATTGAGTCTAGAATGATGAGTGGTGAGTTTTGGGAAAATCG